ACATATATATATATATATATATATATATATATATCGCACAAGGTCACAAGGTCCTATATATATCTATATATATGTGTGTGCATGTGTGTGTGTGTGTGTGTGTGTGTGTGTGTGTGTGTGTGTGGATTTGTCTAGAGTTAACAACCCTCAAAATACAAAGGTTAAAGTTAGAAGGGGTTGTGATAGGTGTATTTATAAAAAATATCATTACTTTTTGTTTAAAAAATTATTTTAATAAGTAATTTAACCATTAAGCAATGACAAATTTGAAATTTTTACAAATATACAATGGCATTTTGAAAGTTAGTATCCAGGAATTTTATTTTTAGAGTGCCCTTGTCTTTTAGTAAAAATTTCAACTTTACCTTTTACAGAGATGATAAAAGTACCCATTGCTTTGTAGTAATATTTACAAAATTACCCTTACTTAATAATGAAGATATCATAAAAAGTAACTTTTTTTAAAAAATAGACTACAAAATTAGTAACTCCACCCTTCACAACTCTCTCTATCTTTAACTTTTGTAATTTGAAGGGTTGTAAAATTTAGATTATCCCTATATATATATATAGGAAAACAATGCAAAACACCTATAGGTTAAGTTCTACAGTACTTCACCTATGGCTTTATCACTGTTCAAAGTTAGTCACATGGTCACAGATATCTGATAGTGTTTGAATTTTAATATTTTTTGACAAATCATAATAATATGAAATTTTGTAGGTGTGTGCACCTTAGTGAGATGCACATGAATAAAATATAAAAGAAATAATTTGAATGATAAAAATTATGTAAAATGTCCCTATACCTCAAGGAACATACAATACTAAATGCTTTTTTGTATAATATATTATATGATAGACCTATCATTTGATTTTTTAGAAGAATAGGTTAATAATACAAACTTAGTGGCCTTCTATGTACTATGTTGTTCACAACACACTTGAGGGTGGCAAGGAGGCACGACTCTACAATGCCAAGAACTTTCGAATAGAAATGAAGTCAATCAGAGGTAGAGATTGGAACATTGTCAAATTATGGTCCGGGAGGGAAGTAGGCCTATGGACAACTCTCTTTCACGAACCATAGGCAATTTCTGGCTTATGGATTGGTGCGGCCAAAAATTCGCAAACATGAATAGTTTTTAAAATTTCTAGAGCAAAGAAGGGGAGAGATTTAGGAAATAGTTTCAAAATAGGGAACTAGAGCTAAACTATACTAAATACACAAATGAAAATCCAAAGAAAAGAAAAAGCGATGAACTTACTTGGAAATTGGGCCCACAAGCATGGTACCCAAAGTCGGTGGTCTGGCTCAGATCCGAGATTGTGGCACCGACCTCTTTCGCCTCTTAGAGTTCACCAATTGGGATCAAACAATGTAAATATTGGTACCAACTTAGATTTAAATTGAATACTAAGCCTAGGATTTAAAGGAAGCGTCTAGGGTCCATGGATGTAACCGAGAGTCTATAATTTGATTGGCTTGAGGTTATATCTTGGCTGAGAATAAGGCTTTAGAGGTTCAAAGTAGGCTCAGGGGTCTGTAAGAGGGGGAATTAGGATTCTCGACCGTAGGATTTCTAAGGTTGTGTGTAAAGTGGCAGGGCTTTGCCTAATTTTCTAAAATCTGGGCCCAATGTCGTAGGTGAGGGTCTATATTTGTAGGTTAGGACCTAGATAATAGCTCCTACAAGTGGCGGCTCAATTTGGGCAGTAGATCACCCGCAAAACACTGTATTATGCTTGCGTAAATAGCTGTTATGCAGACATGGTGGACCCCACAATTTTGCAGTTTCGCACCACTTGTCTTGTTATGTATGTTGGGACGTTTCAACATGTGAATGATCCATTTTAGGTGCATTTGGGTTGTGGTAATGGATTTAAATTAGGAGTTTTAAATGTTATAAAGGTGGGGTCAAACTAAAGTTTAGTGGGGTTATTAGGATTTGACCTAGGATTAAAGGTGTTGGCCCAAATTTAAGCTAGTTTAGGAAAGTTTTAGGTGAATTTAGGTCATTTAGGTAAGTTTAGGCTTGTTTTAGAAGGTTTCAATAGAACTTCGGTCTAAATTGGAAGGTTTAAAGTTAGCTAATTGCTTATTTAGGAAGGTTCAAGAGGGTTTAGTGGACTAAGCAGGTTGCACTAATGTCACACCCCAAGAATTTACAGTACTGTTATTCCTGAGATGTGACAGACAAAACATATATACATCTATTGATAGGACAAATTTACAGTGGCGAGGTCTTACAAAGTAACAAAAAAAAAGCTTAGACACAACTGCAATATCTTCCAAAGTTGCCCTTGACGAGTACTCAAAATGAAGCCGCAGTTATCTTGAAAAATGTTTACCATAGTCTTGTTGGGTCCACTTAATCCCTATCGGCGTCCCAGATAGGTCCACTTAATCCCTGCAGGTCCACTTATACCTCACCGGCGTACCGGATGAGTCCACTTAATCCCTACCGGCGTCCCAGATAAGTCCACTTATACC